CGAAAAAGTGGTAACACCACTGCATTTCATCAAAATCATACAGGACATGTACACAAGTGGATCACGTATTGGATCAATGTGTTGAGATTACGCACGCACTCTCTCGTTTCTTTTCAGATTAGCTGCACAGAAATTTCCTGCAGAATGCACGATCACTTTGGTGCGACTGTTGCACTTGAAAAAATAGAGCTGTCATGTGGACCGCTACTGGAAATAGTGGGAAAATCTGCTGCGAATGTGAAATATAAAGGATCTTCTAGCGATAGCCGTCCTTAAGACAAAAATGTGGGCGATAACCCATCATAGTATACGGGAGAGCATGGGGTGAGTGAAGCCCAGACACCACACAACGCTGACTGATGGATCGCGAGCAACCCCTAAGCTGCCCTATGCTAACGTTTAGCCGAATAAAATGTTCATGTACGGGACTTGAAATTTAGCGATATAGAGATTTGACGACTCAGATATTCGGCTAGTAGGCGGAAAGATTAAACACGAATTGGCTCTAAAGAATCCAATCTATGGACCTTTTCGGCGATACGGTGACTCTCCTTATCGCTATGTATATATTCGCTTCACCGGAATTTTCACATTTCCAGACCACTGAAGTTTCCAAATCGCGAGCCATGAACGCGAACTATAAGCCTCGAGGTCATATTCATGTTTCCTACGACATGTCTAATATCCCTAGTCGATCCTGGGGTGATAAAAACTTGCAGTTAGGAAGGACTCATGATGTAAATGGATCGGAAACGAAGCGGCTTCAAAAGCATATTACGGATAACTGAATAGAGTAAGGAACCTCTACTTGAGCAACAGGGACTCCGCGCAAGGAGTTTCTCCGTGAGAGGATGTTAAGAAATACGTCGGGATTGCCTTTTAAGCCCGGGTACCCCCAGGAGGCCCGTCGCGCGGCAAGAAGGCAAAGTCAGCGGACGAGTCGCGCGCGTACTATAGGGATTTCGCGTCAAGTTAAATAGAGTGTCCCATTGCACGTCCTACATCGCACACCACGCGCTGCAACTCGTCCGCCGACTCTGCCTTCTTGCCGCGCGACGGGCCTCCTGGGGGGTACCCTTAAGCCCGGATACTCCCAGAGTGAACGTCATCGTGATTGTGTCTGCGTCTCAATCTAGTGCATGCCTTCTCTTTACTGTACTTTCGGTGCCTGCTCCCTCATTTCTCCGTCTCGGAGGGCAGTATCTTAATCAAATTCAATGATTTTT